TCAATGGTTTTGCTGCACATTCTTCACATATGATGGAGTTATTGCTAAAGGGACGAGAGATGGCCATGTTCAGTTCTGGACAACGCCCGCCTCCCCTACCCCCGTGCCCTGTCATCACTGAAGCATTTATGCAGAAAAGCCCTTCAGAGTTTCCTGACCATGTACCATGTCCTAGCACTGCCAATCCCCAAGAAGATGAAAGAATTCCTCACGTTCAGGACTTTTTAGTAGTACCCACCATCCCAACTCCTATAGTAGAGCAATGCAAGTGACTGACTAGGGTGGAGCCACCCAGATCACACTGGACCCACTGTAGACCTTTCTGTAGGTCTGATGATGCCACTTGTATCAGCCTTACCTCGTCCTTACTCATTCTGAGCAGCCTTTGTCAGTCTAGTTGTCTTGAAGCCAGCTGCAGTTGTGAACCTGTTTGGTGGTGTCCAAGTTCACACTCCCTTCATTCGGAAGCGCCTGCCATGTAGCATAGCAAAAAGAAAAAAAAAGAAGAAGAATTCAAGTTGACACTGACCATGAAACTCTCTTCCCATTGGCTAGCTATCATATTACTGGAAGTTGCTGTGAAGGAGGCCAGTGTAGTCATCAACTGGTTTATGCAATTGTCAAAACTGTGAACTCCAACAATGAATTACATAGCAATAGGGGCATGGATGTGATGGGGGAATGGAATATTTTAAAACTGGATTTAAGGCACATTACACAGGAGAAATTATCATATGCATAGCACTGCAAATCTGGCCAAGAACTCACATGACTCAGGTTTAAATATATTAGCATAATATCAAACTGTCCCCTAACTTTATATTCATTTCTAAATTATTGCACTTCTAATACTTCATCTGAAAGAATTTGGGCAGTGTATGGTGGCTAATGCAAAAACTCACAGTTGGTCAACATAGAGAACCAAGTGACAGTGGAGTGCTCAACCACAAATGAGACATTTGCTGCATTCAGAAACTCCCCAAATTTGAGGGTACCTGTATAAAACAAGGTCACAATCACCCAAGTCTACTGTCTAATGTTGATTAAAAGGCAGTGCATAAACCTGACCTCGATTTGAGTAGCTTGATGGGAGAATTTACAAAATTCTTCATCACATGTATTCAATGGGAAATACAGACTCACCAAAAAAGGACAAGGTGGAAGCCCCCTTGGATCCAGCAGCTGTGTCCTGCCTTTTTGCCCAGGGGAGATGCTTCTACTCTGCTTCCTAGGAGAGAGAGTGACAGTCCACCTCCAGCCCCCAACTTGTAAGATGTCTTGTCTGTATACAAGAGACCATGTGCCCAAGTCTATTGGCAAAATGAATTCCCACAGTATCTATAGACAGTTGTTGGTTCCTAGGGAAAAAGAGACTATTTTCTTTAAGGATTATATCACTGCTGACTCATCTGAACTTCTGTGATATATGCATACACATACTTCCATGGGAAGTACAAATAGGAGCTCTGGAGTAATTTATTTAAAGATAAGGGAAAGAACGTTAGGTTGGGTTGGTCAGAATGTTGTGGTGGATCTGGGATGAGTTAAGAAAAGCTGAGAATGAAATTCTTAAAGCACTAATAAAATATCTATTACAAGGAAAATAAAACTGCCACCCCCCGGGAAGGGACCCCCGACCCGCGGGGGTGAGGTGATGAGGGTCGCTACTAATTTGGTGGGCCTTCACGAGCAGATCCGATCTGGAAAGTGAACTTCAAGAGGTTAATGGAAGCAGGCTCAAGACAACGTTCGCTGATCAAGAGCCTTTATTTTTTGGGGCGTGCTGGAACTTATAGAGGAAGGACCTCAGGGGGGTGGTACAAGCATGTCAATCAAGTCTCAATTCAAATATACACCAAATACGGTAAAGACAAAGCTGTAGTTTTCCATCAGTCATTAGTTGCATTCCACAAATGCTTGTCAGCGTAAGTCAGGTGGTGCAGGAATTAAGGAGGGGTAGGAAGTATTCAACGGAACACTTTAATCTTTTGTTAACAAAGATAATTACTCTGTAAGGGTACTTCCCTCTGGCTAGGCGGGTGGGCTGCCCTGTGTAAATTTAACCATAACTTTTATGGTTAGCCTTTTCCTTTGTCTCAAGGGCATGTGTGCTCGCAGTCACGTAGGCAGAAGGCCAAGAAACGGTTGACAGACTCCATTTTGTTCAAGGTTCTAGCAGTCCCCAACATAAAACCATTCAACTGGATATTCAGCATGAATTGGATGATTATTATTGAATTTTTGCTGTAGGTTATTTGATAAAACTATCTTACAGGTGCTTGGGGTCTGCCACTGCAGCTTCCACTCTGGTAGTGGGAGCCAATGCACCCCACCATCCTAGTCTCCTGCTCCACACATGGGACTAGGTAAGCTGGGGCCCATTTCTGGGCTTCCTGCCTGTGCTTGGGGTCTGCCTCTGTGGCTTTCACCCCAGCAGCAGGTGCCAATGCACCCCAGCATCCTAGACCCTGCTCCACTCTTGAGACTAAATCTACCAGGGCCTGTTTCCAGGCCACACTCCTGTGCCTGGGGTCTACCACACGGGCTTCCATTCATCCCACCGGGATCCAAAGCACCCCAGCATCCTTGCCTATTTCTCTATCCACAAGTACAGTAAGAGCAGAGCTACCAGAGCATTGAACTTGCCTACAAGGTTTGAGGAGATAGCTGACTAGTGAGATTTCCAGAGATCTACAAGGATGACACAAACTGGCAAACTAATCAATCGTGGAGAGGCTACCTTCATAGCCCCTCCCTGATAATGAGATTGATGACTACCTTATATACCATCCTAGAACCTTCGTCCAGTGACTGATCGAAGCAGAGGCAGATACTCACAACTAAACACTGAACTGAACTCCTGGAACCCAGTGACAGAGAGGGAGGAGCAATGAGCAAAGGCATCAAGACCGTGCTGGTGAAACCCACAAAGACAACTGACCTGACAAGGGGGAGCTCTTGGACTCCAGACTGACAGCTGAGAGACCAGCGAGGGACTGATCCAGACTCACTGAACATAATATCAGTGACGAGGCCTTGGCAATCTCTCTGGCCATGGGTAGTAGATCAGTGTTTACCATGGTGTACAAGTGAACTTTGGGAGCCCATTCCACTTGGAGGAATGCTCTCTCAGCCTGGACACATTGGGAAAGGCCTAGGTCCTGCCCTGGATGAAATGACAGACTTTAGAGATTCCCCCCAAGGAAGGCCTCACCCTCCCTAGAGAATGCTGTGTGGATTGGGTGGGGGGGGCAGTGGTGCTGTGGAGGGGCAAGAGAGGATGTTAGGGAGAGGGAGTTGGGATTGACATGTAAAGCAAGTATGTTTCTAATTTAAATTAAAAATATAATGGAAAAGTTTACTTTAGTGTGTATAATATTGGGACTTTAGCAGAAGTTTCCTAATATTATGTCAATTGAGCTTTGGAAAATTTCAAAATCAGAATAAAAAATTATGAATGTAGTTGGTACAGAAGTAAGTGAATCAAGCCTACTCTTTAGGCAGATTTGAAGAAATTATGTTTTTTAAATTCGGATAATGAATTTGCACGGGTTCAACAGTGAGGTCTTACTTAAATTTTATGTCAGGTCTCTTGTTTCTCTTGTCTTCATTTTGCTACAAAAAATTACAGTAACCTTATAATATTCAGAGTAACATTTAAGTTATTCTGCTTCTATTTGGTTTGTTTCTACTTCTGTTAGGTTTGTTTGTTTTCTTTGCTTTTCCAGAAATAGCTTTTCTGTGTAGTACTGGCTGTCTTATAAATTTCTGTGTAAACCAGACTGGCCTTGAACTCAGAGATATCAGCCTGACTCTGCCTCTTTATTACTGGTATTAAAGGTCCAAGGAACCACTTCCCAGAGGATATTCTGTTTCTTTAGCCAAGTTTCTAAACTCACATTTAGGAAACATTCTTATTCATCCATTTTTAAAATTTTACATCAAGAATGCACTTTTGCCTCTCTCCTGTCCCTGCTCCCCCCAGTAACTCCACCTGACCTCCCACAGTCTCCTCCTCCTCTGTTACTATTCCGAAAAGGACAGCCCTCTCATAGATATTAGTAAAACGTATTGACTTGCAGTGAGGCTAAGAACCACACCTTGTATTAAGGCTGGGCAAAACAGTGCATAGGAGGAATAGGGTCCCAAAAGCCAGCAAAAGAGTCAGAAATGTCCCCTGATCCCAACATTATGAGTCCTACAAGAAGACCAAGCTATACAACTGTCATTTGTATGTGGAGGTCCCAGGCAGGTTCCCTGTCTAGTTGTCAGTTCAGTCCCTATGAGCCAAGGTTAGTTGATTCTGGCTCTTATAGTCCTTCCTCCCAGTCTTCAGCAGGGGAAAAATTATCTCTAAGTGTCATTATTTAGTGTGACTGTTTTTAAGATTTTTGCATACTACTTAATATGGAAGATGCTATCTCTTTTCACACTGATGATATTATCTGCAATTTTTAAAATTTTAACTTTTTATTGATTCTTTGTGGATTTCCTATCATGAATCCTGATCCCACTCATTTTCCTCTCCCCTCACTTCTGCCCTTGCAATCTCCCCCCAACACAAAAAGTAAAACAAAAAACACATAAACAAAAATCATAGAAGCTATAGCACAGCCTCGTGAATCACACAGTATACCCTTTAGTCCATACATATGTTCTTTTTTTAGTGTGCAAATTTGCTTTTGTCTTTAATAAATGGTAGGATCAAAGAATTGTCTTGATTTATTTATTATCAAATGCTTGATTTGCAATCTAATTTTTGTATCTACACGCTTGGTTCCCTGCTTTCCTTTGTGGAGACTGAGATTTGAACAATGCAGCTAAACCACAAAACTTGACTTTCAGGACTGACCTACAATCTTGTTTTTCTGTGTGCAAATACACTCACTGTTAATTCACTCATTTATGCACATGTAGCAGTCAGAGAACAATTCTTAGGCATTGGTTCTCACCCTCTACCTTTCTGAGGCCAGGTCTCGTTTTGTTTTTTGTTTTTTTTCTCTGCCACACTGTGTACTCCAGGCTGGCTGGTCCTGGAGCTTCCAGATGATTCTTATCTCTGCTTTTGTTGAGGTAGGAGTACTGGGATTACAGATTCAAATTGCCAAACCTGGATGTTTTCTTTTTTAATTTGGGTGTTTTGCCTGCATGTATGTCTATGTACCACCTGAAAAGGCCAGAAAGGGTATGCCATGCCCACTGATCCCTTGGGACTAGAGTTACAGATGGCTGTGAGCTGCCATGTGGGTGCTGGCAATGGACCCAGGTCTCCTGCAAGAGCAGCCAACACTCTGAACCCCTGAGCCATCTCTCCAGCACCCCGTCTTTTTTCCTAGACACAGACCCCTGGGGTCACACTTGAGTGGTCAGGCTTGCACAGCTAACACTTTACCTGCTGAGCAGTCCCCTCACTTCTTAATACAAAACTTACAAATGTAATTTTAAAAATTCAGGATATAAAAATATATGAAGTAGTTTAACACTCCTTTCTTCAAAGTGAAGCAGAGTCAATGGTAGGGTCTAAGTCCTTTGGAGGCTTCCGGAACTTGCCCTGAAGGAAAACTCGTGGCACACAAAGGCCTTCTTTTTTGTTCACTGTTTCTCGAAACACATATTCGTTTGACACTTCTTCATAGCCCCGCATCCACAAAGAGCTTCGCCAGGAATTCATCAGTGAAAAAATAGGATCTGGTTCCATCTTGTCTGACATAAAATTTTTCTCCAAGTTTGCTCCCAGCTTTAAATCTAAGCATGGCATGATCGTGCAGCCCATAGTCACGGAACAAGACACTTCTGCCTGGCTTTAATACCTTGTACACATTTTGTAAGACGAGGTGCATCTTCTCAGGGTGATCAGCCGAGAGCACAAAGATCAGTGTGACGGCGTCCACAGACTCTGGTGGGATATGGTCAAGGAGGTCATCTCTAGTGAGGTCACACTGGAATACTTTGCATCTCTCCGTATTATATAAAGGATTTTGTTTAACATAGTCAACTGCCCTCGGAGAAAAATCACAGGCGTAGGCAAAGATATTCAAATCCTCTTCTAAAAGTGGGAATAAACAGTTCCCAACCACACATCCAGCTTCCAACAAAGTCAATTTTTGACCTACATACTCCCTACACGATCTTAGCTCCTCAAACTCTCTGGTGGTCCAGTGTCTGTCCTTGAAGAAATTGGTACTGTTTCTTTTGTAAAAATGGTCCCAGTTCTTTTGAGCCTCTTTTTCCAGTTTTTGCTGTTTAAAATCAGACACCAAGGCTTGGTCTCTGTGCAGTCTCTCCTCTTCCTCAGAGCTAAGCATCCTCGCTTGCAGTCCCTTCCTTGCAAGGACGCCATGGCAGCTGCTTCAGCTCTGCTGAAGACTCCCTGGTCTTCTTTGACTACCTGAAGCACCAGTGCCGATCCTGCAGGCACCGGATTTTTCCCGGTGCATTTTCCCCAGGTGTCTTCCCAGCTTCAGCAGCAGCAGCAGCAGACGATGGTGCCCACGATGGTCCGCACGCTTCCTCCCGCGGGGACCCGCCTCTGGCTCCCATACATATGTTCTTGTCAGTGTTCATCCAATGAGTCATTAGTCTGGTTTGATGCCTCTGGCTTCTACTATACCTTTGATAGGAAGCTCTTATTAGGATTTCTCTTGGATAACTATTGTTGCCTTGTGTCATGGAGATCCTGTAGCTTTGGGTCTGTAGGTTTGGCTCCTTCATAAACTTTGAGAGTTCTAGGTGAAATGGATGTTGGCTACCTCATAGTCCTCATTCTGGGCGTGGGTAGTGGTGTTGTTCTTTGCTGCAGCTGTGGGCAATGAAACATGAACCACAAAACTCACCAAAACTCACTTGGTGTTTCATGGGGAAATGGAGCAAAGCGAGGGGTTGGCCATCTGGGGACAGAGATGGAAAGGGGAGGGGAATGGAAAAAGAAAGGGGAAAGGAAAAAGGGGGAAGGCAGAGCAAGGTGGAAGAAGGGACGAACAAGTGGGAGGCTCTCACTTAAAGGGAAGGCTTGCACATGTGTACAGAATCCTTAGGAAGCTGTACTGAAACAGAAATGGCAGTATACTCATTTCAGAAATGATTTAGTTGAAAGCATTAACTGTGGTGATATCTTTCTTGCACAAATAAAGCCTTTTTGAGGGTCAGAGAATGGAGTTTGCCACTAGCTAAGCATAGAGATCTGTAAAGACAGGCAGGAAGTGATGTACCTGGGCAGTGACGGTATATAAACAGGGACAAACAGAAAATCACTCTCTTCTCTTATTCTGTGAAGATGCTAAGGAGGTAAGGTGTGCTGTGGCTTGCTGCTTCTCTCTGATCTCTCAGCATTTCGCTATATATATATATATATATATATATATATATATATATATATATATGACTCCAGCCTTTTATTATCTAGACCAATTAAGAACTCCATTTATAATTAACACTATTAAAACTGACATATCTTTAGCACAATGAAAAGCACCTTTATCTTGACCTGTTAGTTATGATCCTATAGTGGTATAGTATGTTGTTTAGTAGCCTGTTAGAGTTGGATTAATAGCTTATCAGAATTTTAATGATTAATGTGAAGACTATGAACAATACAAAATGAGAGAGTGAGTGGGGGAGGGAGAGAGGCAGGGAGGGAGAGAAGGAGGGAGGGAGAGAGAAGTGAGAGAGAGATAGAAATCTGGAACATTTCATTCTTTTGAATGCTCAAATCACTCACTTATTTGTCATCACTTAATACTTTTTATCCTCAGAACTTCATAACTTGATACTATCCTTAGACATTCCTTACTTGCACCCATACACCTTGCTAGACATTTCCATCCTCAGGCTTTCATAACTTGCGTTTATACATCTTACATTATCATCTTTGACCTTCATAACTTGCATCCTAAAAACCAGAAATGCTAATGTGTTCAAAACATATTTTTAACAAACTCAAAGAATGCTTGTTAAGTTCCAGGGAGCCTAATTGGACCCACCCAAACAAGTCAGATTCACTCCAAATATCATTCAACCTTACTCTGGTCTTGGGACTCCCTTCCTTCATCTTGGGACCATCTGAGGAACCCCTCCCTCATCTTACAATCCTCCTCCCCTCAAGAATCAGGACCTAAGAAAAATAATTTTTTTCTAAACGTAACCTTGTCCTCTGCTCTACAAACATCTTGCCAGGTCCAAGAGGTGTCAAAGAGTTCCACACAGTCTGGACTGTAATGAAACAACCAGCTACCCTAGGATGTGGCAGTACCCCAGCCTTTTCACACCCAAAGATGGTCAACTCCCTCTAGGTCAGCTGGAAGTGGTCTTGATGATTTGGGGCCCCCTTATTGCTGCCCTACCTGACAACCCCTGTTTAATCTCCCACCTTTTTTTTTTTTGGTTTTTTTCGAGACAGGGTTTCTCTGTATTGTTTTGGAGGCTGTCATGGAACTCGCTCGGTACACCAGACTGGTCTCGAACTCACAGAGATCCACCTGCCTCTGCCTCCCGAGTGCTGGGATTAAAGGCGTGGACCACCACCGCCTGGCATCTCCCACCTTTTTAATAATAAGAGGTGGAATTGTTGATATCCTGGCATTATGCTGACCCTGCCCTTTGATGAAGGGCAGGTACTCACACCAGCATTCAGGCAGATACTTAGATAGCTCAAAAGACCCTGTGTTGCATGGCTACATCATGTGTTACATGGCTGCCTAAGGACTCTGTACACATGTGCAAGTTTTCCCTTTTAAGCACGCTCCTCCCACCTGACCACACCTTCTTCTTCCCCCTTCCCCTTCAATCTCTGTTCCCAGTTGGCTAAAACCTACTGCACCCTTTGTTCCCTTTCCCCAATAATCTCCATGTGGGTTTTGTTGAGCTTTGTGGTTAGTGTTTCATTGCCTACAGCTGCAGCAAAACAACAGGTGGTAGCTGTGTTAGTTAGACTTCCAAATTTACCTTATCATCCGTCCCCAGATGAGCTCTCTAGTGCTTGCCCAGCTAGTTCACCCAGTGTAGCAGACAACAAGGAGCCAACTAGTTCTCCTGTGCTCACACCCTTGAGGCAAGCTCACCTGCACTCACACCACCAGGGCCTCCTCTCCTGTTTTGCCCAGGGGGAGTGCAGGACCTGCTCTCTTGATTGCTACACTTGGTAAGGGATAGACCCAACTATTCCATTCTCATGTCCCCAGGGTTTGCTCTCCCATTTGTCTCAGGTGGCAAGGGGTTGGAGGAGAAGGATATACTTCCCTTACCCTACCATCTCAGGGTATAAGAGAGATGGTGCAGGAGCAGTTCTCCTGCTCTCATGCCCACAGCACTTGCTCACCTGCATCCCCACCAAAGGGTCAGCTCTAGTGTACTGCCCAGGAGAGGGCCAGTTCCACCACTGACACAGCCCCAGTGACTAATTATTTCATCTGTAGCAGGTAGCAAGTGGAGAGGGAAGGAAGGACAGTTTTGCTCACCTATGCCAGCACATGGCAGTTGAGGGGAAGTTGGGGGGGGGGTCCTGCTCTCACAACCCTCAGATCTGCTCATGTGTACTCTGTACTCTTAAGTCCCTTGTTTTTACACGTCCTTACCCAATCACATCTCTCTGGTGATATATTATTTATGATTTATTAAAGCTTGCCTGAGGATTCAGAGAACAAAGTCAGCCTCAAGCTATAGAGATGAGGAGGTGGTGACCCAGACTTTAATCCCAGCAGCCAGAAGCCAAGACGTGGTGGTACACACCTTTACTCCTAGGGCTCAGAATTAGAGGTAGATGAATCTCTATGAGTCCAAGACCACCCAGATTTACACAAGACTCATCCAGTCCTAAAGAGAAACAGCTCACACATAGATATCTCTGAACCTGGGATCACATACTTTTAATCCCAGAACTAGAGGGTTATAAATACAGGAGCATGGTCTTCAGTAGTCAATATAAGACATTTATTCTCCAGCCACTTTGAAAGTAGGAAGAAGTTGAAGTCTCAGGATTCTCCAGCCACACTGAGGAGAAGTTAGAGATTGACGTTTGGTGGGGCCATCCAGGATCAGCCCTTTCAGTTGAGGTAGAGGTAAGGACTAGGGTCCAGTTGCTTTGCTTTCCTGATATTCAGCTTGAAACTTGAACCCAAATATCAGTCTCTGAGTCTTTTATTTTTCATGTTACATATCACCATTCGACATATGTCCCAAGTAGAGTAAGTTAACGGTGATTATCTTTATTTCTGAATCTGAATCTGCCCCAAAGCCTATATCTCAAAACACTACTAAGTATATTGTATTTGTTTTCTTTTATTCAATCTCATCGCTCTTGGTGGGCTTCTCTAATACCAGTCCCTTAAGACTTTATCCAAAGCCTCTTCCTCTTAGTTTTTCTTTGCTGTTTGTTCTCTCTCTTTTTTTTCAGACAGGCTTTCTCTTTGCAGCTTTGGAGCATTTCCTGGATCTCACTCTTTCTGTAGATCGCACTAGCCTAGAAATCACAAAGATCTGCCTCCTGAGTGCTAGGATTAAAGGTGTGCATCACCACTGCCTAGTCTGTTCCTCTTATATAATTATTTTGTATTTTATTTAATAGAAGTAGAAATGCCAGGAGACATATGATGTTAAGATGCATCATTTATGGTAGATGTCAGTAGGGGTGAGCCCACAAAGCTATCCACCCAAAATGGGCAGAGATATGAAGATTAGACAAGTGGGATATTTAAGCAAAGAAAAAATAATCTCTAGTTCTTTCCCCCCCCTCTGGAAGCCTACCACACTTTCTGTCCCCCCAGCTTGTATGTAAGTAAATATATTATTTGCATTGACCTCCTGTCTCAGATATCCTTTGATAGGATCAAATTATAGCAACTGCTATTTTAATTACAGTTTACAGAGAACAGCAATGTATCCTAATCCTTTTCCAATGGTTAGTATTATGTTACTGACAATAAAATTTTGTACTTAGCCAAGGAAATATTAATACACTTACTTTTTATTTAAATTAACAACAAGCTTGCTTCATGTGTCAATCACAGCTCCCTCTTCCTCCCCTCCTCCGCTGCCCACCCCAGCCCCCGCTAGTCCCCACTCCATTCTCCAGGGTGGGTGAAGCCCTCCATGACAGGCTCTTAGTACATTTATTTTAATTTCACTAATTCTATAGTCATTGAGCTTCTGACCTTTGAGATTTCTGTTTTAAGGAGGGATAGAAGTGGAAATACAACATAATAACAGAAATTTATAAGAGAATGAAGAGTTGAGAAATTGCATTGCAAACTAATATACTCAACAAATTTGATGGTACAGAGATTATTGATTTGGAAATTTAGAGTTCTGATTGTGAATAATTTGAAGAAGGAATTTTATAGTCCCTAATTGTGGGCAAAGGAATGCTGGGAAGATGACAGTTGCAGGAAGGATTGTGAGTTTGTTTTATGGAAGGGAAGCTGTTTGGAGTTAGGTCCAAGAGGCAACTGTGCATGTGAATTGTGAGTGTTTTGTCTTTCTAGAGCTGTAAAGTGAAGGTGCTGCAGTGATGTAAGGACTCTGATACAGCACTGTAGAACATTCTGTAACTGATAGATTGTGACCCTTGGAATTTTACGCAAATAACTAAGTTGTAATATATAGTCTTGGATGATAAAATCATAAAGCTTTAAAAGTGAAGAGGATAGTTGAGATAGAGTTGTTCAAATTACGTCATTTTACAAGGGAGGAAATAGAGAAAACTTAGATTATCTAAGTTCAAATTCTATAGAGTAACGAAGTTAAATGAAATGATACACATGGATCGTACCTTACTGAAGTTGAGGCATCTTTTCTATCACGTGAAAATTATCTGTGGAATTTGTCCTTTTAGCTGACTTGAGTTTTGAATCCTTTGTTCTCCAGTACTCAATGTATTAGCAATGGCTTACTTGTTGATAATAAAATTTCAATAGGTAAAAATACAGTGATAGGTATCAGTTAGGAGACCTGGGCAGTCTATGGGCCCTTGGGTAGTAGAAAAAGGCATTGGGAGCCCATTCCCCATAGAGGGATACTCTCTCAGCCTAAAGACACCGTGGACGGCCTAGGCCCTGCCCCAAATGATGTGATAGACTTTAATGATCCCTCATGGAAGGCCTCACCCTTTCTATGGAGAAGAGCAGGGATAGAATAGGGGTTTGTGGGGGTCATGGAAGGATTGGAGGGAGAGGGAACTGGCATTGATATATAAAATAAGATTGTTTCTAATAAAATAAAATAAAATAGTGATGTTTATTGGACATTTTTGAGCAGTTCAAATGGATTATTCATTATTTTGAGCTGGTGTTTTAATGACAATGTACAATGAATAAACTATATATCTCCA